CAGCCGAGAACTGCAGAGAGAACTGGAGAAAAGAAAAGAGACAACTTAGGAAGAGGGAACCATCAACTTCAAACAGCTGAAGGGTCTTCTCGTAGGGCAGGGCTTGGCTTGCCCTTAAGTGTGGCCCCAAGACGTTGAGTGAGGCCACCAGGCACACAGTTGCTTTTTGCAGGACAGGGAAGAGCACTTAAGGGCAATGGTTGGTAAACTGCAGTTCATGGGCCCATCCAATTCACCAGTTTACTTGTGTAAATGAAGTTTCGTTGGAGTACAGCCCACCCGTTCACATATGTATTATCTACAGTGCTTTTATGCTACAAGAGCAGAGTTGCATAGCTGCTACAGAGGCTATATGGCCCACTAAGCCTAAAGTATTTAGTATCTAACCCTTTATGGGAACAATTTGCCAAGCCATGACTTAGAGCAATTCAAATACCAAATGGCTGCCTTTTGGTAGTGAGTTTCCCATCACCTATGGAACTCAAGCAAAAAGTGAAGGCTTGTTAAGTAGTGATGTTGAAAAGGTCCCTTTGAGATTATAAGACATTAGCAGCTAATGACAATTATTCAAATTCCTTTGCTCCCTGCCAGTTACAATAGTCACAGTTATAGGTAAATAATCTACCTATAGAGCAGCCTCAGCAGAATCTCAGGTCCACGGCTTTTCATCACCAGTATCTGATGCCCATCGGAGAGAGCAATGGCTTGCTCTGTCTGTTTAATATGACAAGACGGATGAGGTATAAAGTCAGGCAATCTCAAGGGTGAACATCTGTTGGAAATCTTTTCACACCCAAGCCTCTCCCAATGGGAGGAAGCACTCACGTGCAAGTTCATTGATGAATAACTCTCGTGGATCACTTCTGGGCCCCCATGGCACTGACATGGCTGTCACATTACTGTGTGTTTGAAAGGGTCAGGTATGGTATCAGTGACATTAGCTTTGTTGGACTTCTGTTGGGGCATCTGGGGACATTGTTCAGCACACTCGCAGCCAGACCTTGAGCCGGAAAAAGCACTTGCGCTTGAGGAACTGGTCACTTAGGCCCCAGATTGCTTGACCAGAATGAGATGAGTATCTGGTAGATTCCAAAGGCAGGGAGAGATGTACTCAGCCAGTGCCTCCGGCCAGCAAAGCAAGGATTCTGCACAACGGATGCTAGTAACAGAAATTTGCTTTCTTTCCAAATGCAATCACCAAAAAAAAGTTTTTTTGTGTGTGTGTGTATATATATATATGTGTGTGTATATATATATATGTATATATATATATGTGTGTATATATCAAAATGATCTCATTGAAGAAAATTTTTTAAAGGCCCTGGCAATTTCACTGTCTTTTTGTCAATCAGATTGGATACAAACAGGTTCAATTTTCCCATCTCAGACTGTCTTGCAAACATCGTGATGTGATGGAAACAAAGGAAAATTTTCTCATGCAGTAATGCACAGCCTGCGTACAGAAGCAAAGATTTTCCAGCCAGAAATGGCTAACGTCCCCTTATAAACAGCATCGGCAAAGGCCAAGTCGATCAAATCTTGTTTCTGTGCTGTCTGTGCACAAAGGACCACTTCCCCGTTCCCAAGCGGCCGGGTCCAGTCCGCACACAGTGAACTCCCAGTACTGATTTCTTTTAAAGCCCTCGTCGCTTTGAGTTTTTATTCCTTTCCCCATCAAAGTGAGACAGCAGCAACAAACTCATTTTATATTTTTACATTTTGCATTTTTCTTGCCGCTGGTTTTGTTTTCAGGCGACAGATATAATCAAGGTGTTTGGTTGCGGGTTGCCTTTGGCAGATTTCCGCAGCTGAGCGATGGAGCCCCCTGAGAGCCGCTCTCCAGAGAGACGTTCAGGTATTATCCAGGCCCTAATGCATCCATTCTCAGGCACCTAATGATGCTCAAAATCTATTCGAACCAAACATGTGCTTGCTCCCCAGCTAGGAAAAGTCTTAGAGCGCTGTGGCTGTGTTTACTTTAGAATTTTAAAAGACCACAAAGAATGTTGGGGACGTCCACCTGGCGGGACACAAAAGAAATGTCATGAAAAATACTTCAAGTGTTCTGTACCTTCCTGGAGATACCCTAAGCCTGTTAGACCTTTGTCTTCTACGCCCACTTTTGTCTGTGACACGAATTGTCTGATCTAATTCGGGGGCCCCATCTGTAGCCTGACCCTCCCCTTTGGCCTCTCTGCTGAGCCCAGGAAACATGAACCTTAACCTTGTCTCATGTTCACTGTCTCCCTGGCTGTAGCGTGGACCGTGTTGAATTCTGAAATGAGAGGTGATTCGTGTGTGTGTGTGTGTGTGTGTGTGTGTGTGTTTAGGGTGACTTACAGCACATCGGGTGAGGCTATAATAGCCTTGTCCTCAGTTAATTACAAATAAAATGATTCCTCCATATTTTATTTGTAATTACTTGGTGTCCGCATGCTTGGTTTCGGTTCCCAAGGTAAAATTGGGAGGCGTTGTTCAATTCATTGCTCTGTGTACACTCGAGCACACATTACCTCATTCTGAGGATTAATATTAATGTAGTAATTCAGTCCTGCTGGGGAGATTGTCCCATAAAACAGACATTTCTGTGAAATTACTAAAAATGTAAAGGTTGTCGGAGTCACTCATTCTTCCTCTTAGTCTCGGCTTAGTCCTTAGTGTTCATTGTCCTAAAAGTGATGAGTATTCTCCAATGTCAGGGGGGCCATGGCAATTAAGAGACAGAGCTGATCTATGGTCAGACCATTTCTCGAATTGCCTCCAACTGCATACACACAGTTAACCATGTCATCTGCTGATGTCAAAGCCAAACGCCATACCGTCACCTCAGTCACGTTGAAGGAAGGACTCTCTTAACTGCAAGGAATACAGAGGTTCCCCCCTGGTCTTTGCAATCGAGATCCTTGCTAAGATTTTTATTTTATTCCAGCAGATCGGCCAGAGGCTGACTTGACCCATTTGAAAGTCTACGTAGAGTCAAATCCAGCTCAAGGTCCTCGCACTAGTTTTGTATAAAAGAATAAGGAAAAAGGGGGATTGGGTTGCTTAGGAATATCTCATGAAACACAGGAGTACTGAATTGCTAGGCTGACTATATTAATAACCCATCTAGGAAACTTCTAAGGGCATTTCATTGAGTAAAGAAAGCTGATGCTGTCAGTGGGAATGATGGGAATATACAAATCTCCCCTATGATTTCTTCATCATAGCTATCGTCATCACCATCATCATCGTCAGCACCAACTGAGCTTCTATTCTGTGCCAGGCACTTTCGCATGTATTATTACATCCTAAAATTCACAAAACCACTACAAGTATATATCATGATTCCCATTTTGCAGATGAAGAAGCAGGGATCCCTAAAGCCCAAGATGTTTTTAATCTTCAAAAATCTAAATGCGAGTATTTCCAATTGTTAGAAGCCGTTACTTTACTGGTTACAGTAAAATAAAATGTATATACAAGTGGCCAAAGGCTATCACTAATAAAATGCAACACCTTCTGTCTCATCAATGAACAAAATGCAGAACTTTCAAGAAATGATTTCTCCCTTTTCAGAGTAACCAAGCAAACAGTGGCTGACAGCCTTCCTTCTCCGCCTTCTAAATGGCTAATATGTGAAACTACTGTTATTTTTAGAGTTCAGCCACTCGAAACACTTAGTCACTATACCTCCTTCTGGACAAAGAAAAAAATGTTCTTCCATCTCTTATCTGTTTTTTCTAAACCGTGAAGATGTAAATATCAGCAACCTTGCTAAAACATCATTTGAATCCATGACGTTTTTAGAGGTCGTTGAAAAGGCAAGTCCAGACGGTACTTCTCTGTTCGCTTCCAACCCACTTCAGTCTCCTTAAGTCCTTTCAAAGCCTGGTCACTCCCTGCATTTCATAGCAGCAGCTTTTACATTTGAAAAGCAAAGTCTTGCTGCTGGCATGAGGAGAATCGGAAATGTATGTGAAAGTGAAATGAGTGAAAATGAAAATGCATTTATGCTTTCTACATTTTCCAATCAAATTGTTGCCATTTTAGAAATGGGTGTCCTCCTTGATGTGTGTGTGTGTGTGTGTGTGTGTGTGTGTGTGTGTGTGCATGTGCTTCATCAGCTGGCTGGAGATATTGTAAGAGAAGAGAGATGCAAGAGATAGCACAGAAAGCAGCAGGCAGCGGCCAGTCTCTTGTGATGACTTTGAGTTAATGCTCCTCTGGGGAAGGCAGAACAAAAAAAAAAAAGAAAGCACCAGTACAGCAAAATCTGCCCTATAGAGTTCAAATCTGTTGGATCAGCCCAGCTTTTCTGGCAAAGCAAGACAGAATATGTGTTTACCCTGTCAATTTTAACTCTTACAACTCTCCAGTTGTAAGACTTATCTGAAGGTGGTAATCTGTATTGGGGGTTGAGTGTGATGGATGAGTGATAAAGAAAATGCAAACTTTTTTTTTACATTAACTTGGGGGTGCTGCCTTAAAAAGCTAGCACGACGTTGTCCTTCTCTCCCCTGACATAAGATAACTAATTAACATGTGTCACAAATCCAGGCATAGTACTGGACCCAGGGATTTCCTTGGTGCAGTGTGATAGACATGCCTGTGCAGTCAGGGCCAACCCTAGGAACCCAGGGGTTTAAAGCATCCAGAGATATTTTGTCTGTTTTTGCCCTTATTCTGGAGCTAAGTTTCTGGGAGAGGTTCGTGGGGCCATATTGATTCTTCCATTAAGTGGCAAACGTGCACAGCTTGTGAAACCTATTGGGGGTCATTTCTCCTTTATCCATGGTTGATGGTGGCAGTGGCTACCAGTTACTGAATACCTACTAGCCTTGCAAAATGCTGGCATTCCACGTCTTATTTTATATAATCCCTCCACCAGACTTGAGAGGTGGTCCACGTGTTACCCTCACAGAGAAGAAAACTGAAGGTCAGAAATGTTAAGAACACGCCCAAAGCCACTGCATCAGTGAGCTTCTGCTGTGTAACAAATCGCCACGACACTTAATAACTTAAAACAACACATGTTTATTACTGCCTCAGTTATTCTGGGTCAGAATTATGGGCATGGTTTGGTTGAGTCCTCTGCTCAGGGTCTCTCCCAAGGCTGAGTCAATGTGTCAGCCAGGGCTGGGAGCTCAACAGGGGCTGTATCTGCTCCGGGCTTTTGCTAAAGACATTGCTGACAGCGTAGTTCCTTGAGGGAAGCCGGACTGCGGGCCTCACTTCCGAGCTGACTGTTGGCCGGAGGCCACTGTGCATGCCTTGTCACACGGGCCTCGCCGGCACTGCAGCTTGTTTCATCAGAGCGTGCAAGTCGAGAAGGCAACAGGAAGAGCCTGCCAGAAAGATGGAAACCACAATTTTAGGTAACCTAATCACAGAAGTGGCATCCCATTACCTTTGCCGTGTTCCACAGGTTCAAATCAAATCACAAGTCCCACCGCACTCAAGAAGAGGGGACATGCAAGGGTGTGAATACCAGGAAACAGAAACCCATGGGGACATCTCGGACTCTGCCCACCACGCCAGCCATCGAGTCCCCGCGCGTGGCCTGGCCAGCATCCAGTCTCCGCAGATTTCTCCTATTGCTCCTTTGTCCCCTGCAGAGCTTTCCTTGGAGGCTCAGCTCCAGCCACACCTTCCTCTAAGAAACCTCCTCTGGCAACTCCAGCCTTCCTTTTCCTCTCTCTCCCCAGCGAATCCCCTGATATTTATAGCAGCAGACGAGGTAACTGTGAACCAGTTCTGCTGCTAACCGTCTTTGTGTAAGCTGTTAGGTGGACTCTCAGGACATGTTCTCAAACCGTGAGCTGCGCAGCCCCAAGTCTTCCTCAGGGCTGATATTTTGGGGAGAAAGGAAAGGCAGAGTTCTGCACCCTAAGCCCCCACACTCACCCAAGCATCCACCCTCATTGGCTTTATATTTCATTGGAAGAAAGATTCCATGCTCATTACATATTTGGAAGCCACTTGTCAGAGAAGCAATAGTATGAATGATAGTTAGGTCCCTCGCGTAGCCTACCACTGTAATATTTCTTCAGAAAAATGCATTTAAAAAGCCAGATTTGACCCTCTCTACAGAAGAGGATCCCAGAGAGTTGCAAAGATGGGAGGTCAGAAAGGGCAGGTAATTTTTTGAATATTTGTATCTACTTGACAGAAAATACTTTTTGACATGCCTCCTAGAATCCACCCAGAGGTGTCTTTCACTCCTTCCATTGCCCCAACTCTATTTCAGGCACCCAGCCTCCCTCACCTGAATGCCTCAACAGGCTCCCACCTGGTCTCCTTGCCTCCAACACCCCCTCCCCCCTCTAGGCCAAGTGAACTTCCTAAACTATAACAGTAGCCATGTCACTCCCTTACCCAAACCCCTTCGACGACATCCCCCAAAACAAAGGTAAGACCATTGGATGGCTCTGGACACCATCATTCATGATGTCTAATATCTTTTTAGTAATCTCTTTTATGCTTTGACAGTCCCCACATGTGATTCCCACAATCCCACGGTAGAATGAAAACCAGCATCCATGACGACATCTCCCAGCCTCCCTTGCAGCTAGGGGGCAGGCACGGGACCTGGGTTCTTCCAATGGATCCCTCCTGTGAGATCTGGATGACAGGGTGTTACACGAGGCAGCAGGCCCAGCAGCACCCTGGGGGGTTGTCTTCTGTCAGGCATAACGGCAGAGGAATCCTCTGGGACGACTTCTGGAATCCAGCCTGGGATGACTGGTGCCAAGTGGGGGCATTGGCAGCCATGTTGTTCTGGCGTGCTGGGTGTCAGTCGTGGCTGCTTGGTTTCTGGCTGTGTGGTGTCTTAGCCACGCGCAAACTAACCGAGGGGAGCCTGCCATGTGTCACTAAGAATCCTGACCAATACCGGGTCTCTTAGGTCCCAGCCCTGACAAACGTCTTCAGCCTCCCTCCTGGCACTTCTACAGCGAACTCTCCATGCTGTGATCTGACTGTGTTAAAGATATTTGGAGTCCACCAAATACTTCATTTTTTCCCCCTCTAGTTTCTGAGCTTTTTCACATGATGTCCCCTGGGTCTTCCTTATTTGCCTGGGTTACTCCTACTCAATTTTCAGTTTTTATGTTAGGTGTCATTTTCCCTGGAAATTTTTCCATGACTCTCAAGTCTGTGTAAAGGTCCCTTTTTAAGACCTGTCCTTTCTTTTCTGTAGCACATAAACAATTGATTTTGATAGCGAATTAACTCATCCACAGCTACCTCTAGATTAGGGGCAAAGAACATGTTTACGTTGTTCACCATCTGCAGTGGGCAGCTACTGTTTTGCCTGCCTGTAACTGAACTTTCTCTTATTGTGAGAAATGTTCTACCTAATCCAGTTAGCGAGGATGCTAGCAGGGGGCTGCTTTCTTCTTCTGACTCCCTCCTCCCCAGCCTCAAGGGGTAGCAAGGTGGGCGTCTAACACAAGTTGGCCTGATCAAAGCTCTTCTTTAGGAGTTCTTAACATGAAAGGAAAAGAAGTGGTTTTCAGATCTATCCAGGTTCTAAAACTCGAGATGTGGGCCTGGGAATGTTAATGGCCATGGCTTTCATGTTATTTATCTATTGCACAACAAATGACCACAAACTTAGTGGCTGAAAACAGCACACATTTTTTATCTCATGGTTTCTGAGGGCCAGGAATCCGGGCACAGCTTTGCTGGGTCCTCTGCCCCAGGGCCTCATCTGAAAGCTGTTATCAAGTATAGGCCGATGCCCCCATATCATCTCAAGGCTCAAATGGGGAAGGGTCCTCTTGGAAGTTCACATGGTTATTGGCAGAATTCAGGCCCTTGTGGCCCATGGTACGGAGGGTCTTAGTTTGTCATTGTGGTTGGTGGCCTCAAGGCTGCCTTTTGTTCCCACCTGCCTGTTGGCTGGAAGCTGCCCACAATTCCTTGCCACGTGGGCTCTCCCAACATGTCCACTGACTTCGTTCAAGCCAGCAAAGGAAAATACATTAGCTGGAAAGAGCTATGTTACAATGTGATCAAATCAAAACAATCAATGTAATCAAAGAAGTGCTGTTCCTTCCCTTTACACTGTTGGTTAGAGGCAAATCACAGGCCCTGCTCACACTCAAAGCTAGGAGATTACACGAGGATATGAGTGCTAAGAGGTTGGGATGCCAAGGGGCATTTCAGATTCTGTCTGCCACATACCTTCTGAGCAGAAGTCATTCTGGAATAAATAAATAAAGCAAGAAGAACTGAGAGTGTTCCAGGTTCTCATTCCAATTGTGCCTGACTCCCAGCTAGAATCCTACAAATTTGGTTACATGACTCAATAAATTACCCCGTCATTATTATCATTTTCCTAATAAGCCAGCGCATTTTGTAACACACTTTTATTTCAACCAAAAAGGTTCTAACTAATATACCATTGTATTTTAGTGCCCACCACAGTACATGGAATATGAAAACAACCGTTAATAATATTTTGCTGAATCAAATGGAGAACCCTGCCATTTGTTCAAATATTTTGGCAATTTTAAGTCACCAAATCATAGGATGTTGGAGCTTAGTTAGAGCTTTCTTTTCAATGTGCTCATATTGCATTCTGAGGAAATCAAAGGTGAAAGAGAACACGTGAGTCATTTGTCCCTGGTCACACAGAAAGAGTGAAAGCTGTAATCAGGATCTAAATCACAACTCGGCATCTGGTCCTCTTGGGAGGAAGAGACACAACCAGACCCTAACACAGGCGTCCTCAAACTATGGCCCGAGGGCCACATGCCACCTGCCAAGGACATTTATCCGGCCCGCCGGGTGTTTGTGCCACCACTGCCTGTCCTGCTTAGCAGCTGACTCGTCCCGGGCCCACACTGCACACTCTCCAACTGTCTGAGGGACAGTGAACTGGCCCCCTGTTTAAAAAGTTTGAGGACTCCTGCCTAACATGAGAAGGAAGCTAACTCAGGACCATGGAGAGCGACTCACATGTGCTGGCCCTTCTATGCATTTTAGCCTCGACTGGCCAATGGATTCCTGAGTCCAAGAATTGAGGATTGAAATAAAAATATCTGATGCACCAAGTAAACACTTAGCGGGGTGAAATTATTAGTTTTGATGTGATTTACAGTCTCAGTATATAGGAGAATTATATAGCACATCCCTCTTGCGGCTGTGAATACTACATAATTTTCCTTAATGCTTGTCAAACATAGAATTTAGATTAGTTGCTATTTTTTAACAGAAGTTCAGTAACTCTTTATAATCAATTTATTTCAGAAAGAAATCAGCATTCTTGCAGCTCAATGATCTAAAAATATGCTCTAGGAAAAAAATTATTTTATAGCCTTATGCAGAATGCATGTCTTTTTTGCTGAATAATGTGCTTTGCTTCTGCAGAGTCATGTGCATTCCCCACTGGTTTGGTTCACATAGTCAAAATAGTCGAAATGTTTTGCTTGCTCTTTTTAATACTTGAAGGATGTCAGCATGCATTTTGGCATAGTTGGAAATGGCCCGCCAGGGGTTCTCTTTACAATTTCTGAAAAAAGTTAATAATCTCGCAAATTTGCCAGTTGTAGGTAATTGAACCTAAATACTTTCAGCTGAAAAACATTACCTGACTTAAACGTCTCTGATTCTGTGGTTTTAAGGCACATTGAGTGGGACAGTGGTTTGTAAATGTTGAAGGACAATACAAATGCCAATTGTCTTTGTCAGCAATGATAGTATTATTGCTGTCGAATTCATTGTTAATAGACATGCAGGGCATATATGCCTTTTCTATTACACACACACACACACACACACACACACACGATAGCTGCCAAGTGCATAAGAATTTGGACTTCAGTACAAGATGCTGGGAGGAGGCTCGTACAGAACTCTCAGTGGGCTTGGGTCCATCTATCCCAGCAGATGCTGAACCCTTTGAAGTCAAGAACTAACCCATTTATCTTTCTGTCAGCCCCTTCCCAATGCCAAACACTAGACTCTCAACAAATGTTCCCTGCTTTGAAATGAATGCCTTTCAAAAGCCAGGTCACTCAAACTGAGCAGTTACTCCTGTTATGCTTTCTCCGCCAATTGTATCTTGTGATTTTTCTTTTCCTTCTCTTTTGGTTTTCTGTGCAATATCAGAAGTTGTACAACTCCAAAAGGATGCTAATTAGAAATCAGTGTGACTCACAGAGAACATCTTTAAAAGGGCAGCGGTGACAATGAAACATTATAAAGGAATGGACAAAATGGGTAGTCATTTTGTTATGCATGTAGCATTAATTAAAATTTTAATGTAGGAATTTCAGTATAGGCAATCTCTTTGAAAGGCTTCTAAGTGGAGCCCCATCCTCGAGAAGCTGAGGGCCATTGTTAGCCTTTTTCATTGTAACTCAGTGAAGCTCCATCTTGCTGTTAGTTGATGGGGCAGGTGCAACCTCACTCCATTTTGGGGTGGGGCGAGCAGAGTGGTCCACACGTGGCTTATACTGGTTTTTGTTCTTTCTCTTCCCCATCCTGTTGTCAGCTCTGAAGACTGGGATCTCAAGGAGAGCGAGAGATTTCTTGGTTCTGCCTCTTACTAACAGTGTGACCTTGTGAAGAGATTTATCTAAGTCTCAGTTCTTTCATCTGTAAAATGGGCACCAAGGCTTGCCTCAGAGGCTTCTTAGGAGCAGTAAATAAATGTACATAAAAGTACTTTGTAATCTTGTAAGGGGTTTCCCTCCTTTCCTCCCTCCCTCTCTCCCTCTTTTCCTTCCTTCTATCCTATTTCATTACCTTCCCCCCATATTTAAAATCATTTCAATCTTTTAGCAAAATATCCCCTCTTTGAAAGTGGAGGAGGAAATAAAAGAGGAGAAAGATCGAAATAAACAGGCAAACATGGAGATCTTCCCAGTTTGTTTCTGTTGGTAGCAATAGAGTAAACGGGGGAGAAGTCAGAGAAGGGGGTACGGGTGGACCCTCAGCCTGCAATGTGGAGAGGAGGTCACCAGACTCCTGCCCCAGCTCAGCCCCTGACCACCTGTGAGACTCCAGGAAAGTCACTTCCACTCTCTGGGCCTTGGTTCCCTGACTTGCAAGATAGGGATAACCACTGCTGCCTCATGGCACATGACATGGTGGATGGGGAAGTCTTATGTGAACACAAAACTCCACAAGAGTCCCAGCAATAATTTTATCGTCCATTAATAATGAATTTGAAAGCACTTGGAAATTTGAAATTCTATACTCAAAAGGGAATTTTATCACATTAATCCTTTCATTTTAAAGATGTGGAACCATGCAATAGCAGAGCGATGACTGAAAGATATATTTTATGCTCAGGTAATTGGGAAGGACTGTAATTGAATTTCATTATTGATGAAACTGATGATTAGGAATGTGAGTTCCACTTTTATTTCTTCAATCTATATTTATTTTACAGCTACTATTGCCTGGATTTGGGGCTGGGCCCCAGAGTTAGAGTGAGGCAGACCCTATATCCCCATTCCCCACTGCAGACAGTAGGTGGAAGGGTGTTCTAGCAGAAGGAGGGGTGGGATCAATAGAAGCAAAGGTCTTCCAGGGTATTTGTAGGTTATGTGGTGGATTGCGGTTAGGATATGAACTGTAAATGAATTAATTCTACATTGAATCTAGTAGGCTTGTTTCTAATAAACTTCCCAAATTTTATCTTTCTTAGTATTTTTGTTACATTTGCTATTTATTGTTGAACACTTGGAAAACAAACCTACCATTTATCCTGTTACTAGAAAAATTCTGTCTCTGTGATTAACCTATGAGTCATTCTTGTCTTTCCAAATTAGCTTTACAGATATAAACACACAAAACTTGAGAACTGGGAAGGGCTTTAGAGAAAATATATTCTGGTTCCCTCATTTTGCAGAAATGTGAGCCAAGACCCGGAGAGACCAGTAAATTAGTGACAGAGTTGGAAATATAATCCAGGTTCCTTTCTCGAGCTCTTCCTGCTCCTCCAAACTGCTCGCAGCTCTGAAATCTGTTCCCATCTTCCATGCTGTCGGCAGCCTTCATCCCAGGCATCCTCTCCTGTTTTGTGGACCATTCATTCAGGATCCAGGTTAAACTAACTATTCCCTGGGTACGAGCCTTCCAGAGAGGAAGCTACTGCTGAGTGATTGAGTTTGGCATCATGGGCAAACACACTCTGGTTTGGTTACTTTGAGATAACTTCTACTTGCTCGGTGCACTTTGTGGCACTCTAGAGACCTAAAAAATATTCTAAAACCAGTGAAATCCCCAGCTATTTATCTACACCAGGAAGTGTTAGAGAGAACAGAGAACTGGAAGCTTGAACACCAGGGGGTGCCCAACTGTCCCTGAACTCTCTGTATGGCCGTGGGCATATGTCACTTACCTTCATGCATTTGGTCAGACAGTTCTTCAGCCCATTCTGTCATTAAAGCTAGGGACTCGTGCCAGGCACTAGCAATATGTCCATGTATGAAACACGGTCTCTGTCCTTGGGTGGGACAATCTAGTGGGAAGGCAGACTCACAGGAAATATCTACTGTGCACAGTACCTGGCCTTGCAAAGGGCTTGATGGAATTGCACCAGATCTAGACTGTGGGGTGGTGTCCGGGAAAGACTTTACCAAAGACGGGAGGTTGGTGGTAGGGAAGCACTGAAAGATTCTCAGGAAACAGGTGGACTCCAGAGGTAGAAAACAGTGTTCATCCATCCATTTACTCTTCTGTTCATCTATTTATTCCATTAACAAATATTAAGCATCCTCTGCAGACCATGGAATAAGGGAACGAAAAGACTCAGTCTTTGTTCCCAAGGAGCACCCATGAGCTTGAGCAAAGGCTCCAGGGCCACAAGGAGCAGATGGGCTCAGGGAACAGCAAGTGACCAGCTCTGGCTGGGGCAAAGAAAGCCCCCTGAGTAGGAGCAGCAGGAAGAGAGACTAGAGAAGTGGGCAGGGCCTTGTGTACCATGAACGGCCTTAAGAACTGTCACAGGAAGTATGTAATTTACCTGGAGGACAGGAGAAATGGTCATAGGAAGGGGGGTGGGAGCGACATCACTCCACATGAGTTTTTGGAGGCCCTTTCTGGGTGAAGCCTGAAAAATGAAAGGAAGTGGGGAAGGAGGGAGCAGAGAAAAGGGGGCCAACCAGGAGGCTGCTGGCGCAGTTGGGGACATCTCATGGCGACCTGGACAAGAGCAATGGCAGGGAGATAGAGGGGATCTTGCTGAGCAGTAATTACAAAGTCTTATTTTCTATG